GGCTAAATAGTTCACAAGTGACACTGTCCGATAAGAAAATAAATAATTATTTATGAACCTTCAAAATCTGAAATATTCCACCCAGAGCAGATAACTAATCAGAACACTCAACCCGCTTCTCCGCTCATTTCTCTTTAACTAGCTGAGCTTATTGATCAACAGAACTAAGACTTGGCCAGATCTTCACAACATCAGGAAATTAAATCAAAGCTTAGATAAAAGTCTTAGGAACTGTAATAACAGCTGGCTGCAAATGAGATCTCTTATGTTAAACAAACAAACAAAAAAACAACTAACCATATAACTATTTTGGAATAAAAAGTCAACATTCATAATTCTTTTATAGGAAGAAATTTCTAAAAAACATATATTTCCAAAGAAACTATATGTTTTGCTTCCACCTGCTGGCTACCTGCCTAGAAGATCTAGTGTATCTCATTTTACCAGGCAGAGTGAGAAACTACTGAGGATCTTCCAGGCAAGGCATTAGGGATCTGAAAGTTCAGTTCCCCAGTGAAATGGAAATTATTCTAAGAGAAAGCTTCCGTTTTGTGAAAATGGCTTTTTTTTTTTTTTTTTACATAAGAGTTTTATGAAGAAAACTTCCCCACCATTTCTAACTATAATCCTTATGATATGCCTGAGCAATGAGTAAGAGGAGGCTTTACAGCACTGTGAACAAAGCAAGCACTCCAATGTGGCTTGCAGAGATTTCCTGTTCCCTTACTTTCCCAAGTACAACCCCTTGAGAAAGCAAGCTAAGAAATCTCTTTGCCTGGAGCAACTTACGTGTCATTCCCCATGACTGAGCAATCTTTGAAAGAGGAAGTATAACCAAAGTGAAGGTGTTCCTGAATCCTCTCATTGCACATGCGTGGCAAGAATGATAATTCATCTAACAAAAGCCCTGTGGAATCACATCTCTGAAATTTATTTACTTTTGGTTCCCCTGCTACAGATTTTCTCTGAGCCCTTGCAATCTGTACCTGACTGAAATGCTCTTATTCCTTCTGGAAGTCTGCAACACTGTAGCCCTCCTTCAGCTATGACCAACAGGTGGACAAGATGCAACCTGCTCCACTCAAGAGCAGTTTTTTCTTCTCCAATTACATTGCTCAAAGAAAAGCGTGATGCTTTCATGACTTTGTCTGAATGACCCACATATGCTTGTTTTCATTTTAAAAGAGCAATATTTCCTCCTTTCAAAAATCCACTGACTTTATTGCCAAAGTGTGGGAAGATCTTAAGATACTCAGATCGTGAGGCTTCACGAGTCATGCGAGTTCAGAAAGGTGGTGAACATCACAGGGTGTATGAGAAGTAGTACATTCCCATACTCTGATGAGATGGCACGAGCCACTACTCCCCTCTTTCTGGGTATTTGCTCCAAAAACATGATTTAAGGCTGATGTTGGCTTCAGAAAAAGACTCTTATGAGTGGATGACGTGAGGACAACATGCACCTAAGCCAACTCCAGAATGACCAGAGATTGCAGGGAGAAATAGTATTGTCCCAATATAAAGATACCAACTACAGGTAGGCTTCTGTTCTTCCAGCCGAGATTTCTGCACCAAATCAAGAGCTTGCAGCCATGCAAAAGATAAGAAAAATCAGGGCTAGTTCTGTAATGGACAATTTGGAAAGGTGTATTATAGCACTAGAAGTGAACTGTTTCAAGTTGTATTTTTAAAAAATTTTATTTTTTAAAACCACTATTTTGGGGTTTCATACTTTGATTTTAGTCCTTCTGCAAATTTGTGGTATTCTTCTTCCTGTATAAAAACGTTCAAGCTTATGGCTGCTCTTCCCAAACTCTCAATCAAGAAGGTACCTGGACCAGCACTGATGGCTTTGATCAACACTAGGTTACGCTCTTAATACAATATAAAAACTAACAGCTTCTTTTAAACACCACCTCTATTTTAGGAATTTTTCAAGTAAGACTGACAACAACAGCATTTGAAACCAAAAGAAACAATAATGCTTGTTAAAGAAAGGTGTCTCAATAAGCCCATACTGCTCCCCATACCGCACACCCACAAGGAGCCATAAGGCAAATCCCATTACCACAAGCACTTTACTAATCTAGAGGAAAAACTATCTCCACCTTCAAGAATACGAAAGATAGGATGACAAAGAAATACAGGCTAAGGATGGGCTACAGCATGTGTGCGCAGTGATCAGAGGTGAGGAAAGGCCATGCTTCAAGAGTGCTAGAGCTTTCACACTTCATTTTAGAATGTCTAATACTAGCCTTTTCTTTGGAGTGGGAAAGAAGGGTAAATGGGTTTTGAATATAGGAAGAATAGTGGGTAGGGACTGTGGGAACACAGGAGAAAAATGTAAACATTGAAAAGAGAGGAAGGAGGGAGAGTAAAGGCTGCCACAGGAAAGCTAGCTCTGTAGCGACACAGAGTGAAACAGGGGCAATACAGTAAGTGACCTGGGGAGGGGATGACAGAAATACCCCAGGCCTAAATGTCAGAAGGGCGTGAACGAGATCAAAACTCTCCTAGACTTCCCCTCCTCACTTTCCTGCTGCTCACAGTGTAAAATGGGGCTGAGAAAGCCATTAAGCGCTCCTGCATTCAGTAAAGGGCAGGCAGGGGTAAGGTCCTCATTTTCTTCCCATTCCATGGTGCTTGCTTCCCCATTCCATCATGGTTCATGCTTGTATTTAACACCTGCAAAATCACCAGGGTCTTAGTTTACAGGACGGTCATCCTGAGCATCCTATGTTTTGCACTCCTTCCAACAGGCCCTGTACTTGGCAAATCTCTTTCCAACCATCTGTAGATATGAATTCACCAATGGCTTTTCAAGAAGCAGTGACTTTGCTCTCAAATTACTTGCTACTTGCTGGACACTGTAATCCAGTATCTCCAAATCCAAATCTCTGCGGTATTTGTTCTTTTATGACATGGATCAGCTAGCTCCTACTGTGCACAACAGCTCATACATTGCAGACTGGCAATTACTCTCCTCTACTGAACTTCATTTATTACCATTTGTTTTTCAGTTTTACTGCATTACCTCTAATTTACTATACAAATTGGCTTGGTTAGGGGATATCTCTCGGATACAAGTAACCTTTGGGAATGGTAAAAAGCATTCTCTCAAAGAGCTATCTGGCAAATCTCAAAACACTTTTCTTACGTAGCTTTGCTACATAAAGCTAGATGCTTGTATTTCTTGTGTTGGAGCACTTGGCTTGGCTAAGTTAGATGGACACTGAACAACATCAAATGTTAGTAGCAGACTGCCAGCAGAACTTGGAAGCTGTCGACAAGACCCAAAGACAGAACCCTTCTGTTTGGGCATACCTTATTCCTCTCAGGCAGTCATCTGTCTCCTAAGGCAAAGAGACGGGCAACGTTTCTCATCTCACTTGGATAAGTATATCTTTCAGACCAATTTGTTGGAGTAATTCTGGTTGTCACCATGGATTTTGACAGCTCAGATCTGTGAATTACTGTGGAAAATCTCCCAGGTTCCCATCTTTGTGTGTTCCCAATCCCTTTTAAGTCCCTAGATGTGGAAGACTATTTCGGCTTTTGCAATTGACTGAGGCTTGAAGGGGAAGGAGATATACATGAAGCTTTTCTTCTGGGCTCTTTTAAGTACTGTAGCTCTTTAAAATTATGTTCTTCTTAATCTGTTTTTGATACATAAGTGACCATTAGCTGCTAAGCATCACTCTCCTCTGCCAGATAGATCAATTCCACTGCCTAGAAGTTACTGTGACTTCAGTAACATAGATTAGAAAGGACCCTGCAAAGAGTCACCAATAGTACTGCCTTCCTCCACGCAAGAATTTTAGGTGAATGTTAGTAACGGCTATAAAATTAAAGGGTTTCCCTTTACTTACTGATCCACCACATAAGAAAGCAACCAACTCTTGTCAAGATGCATTAGCCTGACAGATTGCCCTGCAGTTCAGATTCAATAACTCATTCAATAATACAGAGACAGAGATGCTGTCAGCTGATTTCACTTGACTGGCAGAGCTCAGGCTCACATCCAACTTCTCAACTCTGCCAAGGTCAAAGATACTGGGTTTTTATAACCACCTTATTATCTGACCACTTCCATTCTAGCCAGCGAAGATTATGCTGACTTTACCAGTCAGGGTGTTTGCAAAACCCCTTGCTGGGTACAACCCTATTGAACACAGGAGTTTGCGCCTTGGAAGGGAGTAATCTTCTGCACAGCTAATATACAAGAGCAAATGAGGCTACTGCAAACTGTCCCTGTTGACCATTTTCCGCACAAACTTCAGGCTGCTTCCTGCAGCGGAGATGGCTCAAGCCAGAACTCAGCTATAGAAATTTTGGCTGTCTTACTTATTTCTGGTGACTTTTTCTGAACTTTAGCATCTTTTTATGTTATATACATGCCTTCTTCCCACCAAAGATACTGTATGCCTCTCACGCTTTTTATTTAATGGCGCCAATGCTTTCTATTTAATGGCGCCAATACATTTTCTTCTTTAAATAGTAATTGCCATTTAATGTTTCTCCAAAATCAGCTGTTCCGAGTCAGAACAGGTGGTTTTTAGACTCAGGAAGGTGTTTGAGACCAGCAGGCATCATAGTGGCAAAGGCTAGAGTCTTCATACTGTCCTAAAGTATGACACTCCATCATCACTGATGTGCAGAGAATAAACGATCACCATGTGGGAAAGCTTGGATGCCTCCTGGAATCATTCCTCCTCATTGGAAAATGTTTAGTTTTTAGCACATGTATTTCCTTTATCAATAACAGTGAACACCTTAACTAATAAAGAATAAAGCTGTTGAACTGCATCAACTTCCAAACTAGTGGTGAAAATTAGCCTATTTGCAGAATTGACTTGGAAGATCACCTACTAATCAACACCAGAGAACATTATTATGATAGAGCCTGCCTCCCACTTATCTAAAAGATTTCTGAATTGAAGCCTGAAATTAGCCTGCCTTATTGATTTGTTGTAAGACAATGAAATATTAGAGATACTCACTTTGACCAAAATAATTCTTGCTAGCTCTTCGCACGCAGGCTTTTCTTCATCCTTTTTCAAACCCTCCAATTCAAACAAGGTACTGTAGTTTTCCAGCATTTTAGCCATTATCTTGTTGCAGATCTCTTGTTCCTTTATCCCTTCAAATCCGGGAGGCACACTGAAATTGGATGGAACATGAAGCGGAGTGTTATAAGTACTTAACAGACAAATGATCCTGTACAGAGTCCCTGTAACATTTCAGTTGCAGATACAGGCTGGCTAGCAGGCACATGAAACACTCTGGCTGGAAAAGAAGGATTATATCTATGTTGGTTGCTGATGTTAAATATTGTTATCTGCTGGTCAAACTATCTACTCCACAGACTCTAGGTAGAGATCCAATTGAGATAACTACCAAATGAGACACCACCAACTCTGCCATACACCTCTCTAAAAGTTGAGTTCATGACTGCAGTACAGACAGCATCAGGCACTTAAATTCTCCAGACTGTCAATGGGAAAAGTCAAGTACCTCCAAAAAATGATTCATGATGACTTCAAAGGTATATGAGAAGGATGAGTCAAAAAACAAAACAAAAGAAAACAAATAAAAAAAAAAAGAAACCCACACACTGAGCAGGACTGTAAAAGGAAGTGTCAAGCAAGATCTCTGCAGCTTAAGGTGACCCTGGGCTGTACACCATGTTTCTTCATCTACTTTGTGAGTTGGCCCTTCTCTTGAAAGTAGGCATATAACTTACAGAGCTTTTCAAAACACAGAGATGGAGGCTGCTTTCTGCAGAACAGCCTAAAGGATTCATCTGAAAAGATGGTTTCCAACCTCCACTTCCTGGGAGAATAGCCCAACTACTTGGCTGCAGAAGAGGGTGAGAAAATGCAACTTCTTGCCCTCTTGAAAGGGGCCCCTGTGCAGCCAGGAATGCTTGTCACAGAGCTTGAAGGTGCACACAGAAGAAAAGGAAAGATACTGATTTGGAAGAAGTACTGCGTTCCAGTCCATGCTCTGTTGCATTCCTTATGTTTCACACCACACTGTCATCTAGTAAAAAAAAAAATACACACACACACATATATATAACCACCACTAGGACACTCAATTAATTCAAGCATCTAAGGAGCATTTGTTGGAATGCTGACTTTCTGCACACATTATTGGACTTTGGTGCCCAAAACTGACTTAAGTCCTGTTTTAAATGCAAAAGTAGGCTTTCTGGGAAATCTTCTTCAGCGTTTAAAATATTTTTCCAACATAATACAGTGCTTCCAGCAGATCCATTCTCCTCTAAATTATCCATAAAGTGGCTGCATGGATGCGAATCCTCTAAAGACCCTAAAAGAATGACAGAGACTGCAGATCAGGAGGTACAGGAAACATGGGAAAGACTTAAAGAGAAGGAGCAGGGAAGCAAAAATCGAAAGAAAGAGGAAAAAAATGCAAGTATTTTTGGCTAAGATTGTACAAGAGGAAAAAAACCCATAATTAAAAAACCCAACAAATACTATCTTGAGTTATTTTACATGGATGTAACTTGAAAATAAACTACTGTTTAATATAAACAGCGAAACAAAATTTACAAATAACTGGCTACTGTAAAAGCGTTGTGATTAATGTTTACTGGGGCCAGACACACGTTTAAACAACAAGGCTCTGAAAGCAGCTGCCCCCAGAAACCTGCCATCAACCTGCCATTTTGACTTTTTCAAGTCAAAATTAAGATTTAAGATGGTTTCAAAGAGTTTTAGAGCAGAACCTTGACCTAAACCACATCTGCTATAGCCTAACATGTCCCTGCTGGCAACAACTAATACCAGAAAATGCTTCCTGTTTGAAAAACAGTTTAGGCCAGAAAGTTTCCACAAAGCACACAAACACTACTTTATTTTTGCACAACTCTGTGCTCTCTTGACCTCCTTTCCCCCCATTACTTCCTCAGTTAAACCTTATTAAATCAAAGCTGTGAAAAGTCTGATAGCTTATTTTGAACAATCTGATGTACATGTTTGGTCACGTGCATATGCAGAACACTTTTTCTTTTTTTTTTTTTAATAACACAAAAGGCCATCTAAGCTCATGCCGTCAGTCTCTTTTTATCACTCCTCTCTGAACTTCCAACGAGGCATAACATATATTATCCACTGCCATTTCTCTGCTGCTTAACCAGACCCAAACATTCTGTAAAGTTGCTTTTTTCTCTCCTTTTAATTGCTGCAACTAGATCTCCATCATAGCAAGGACTATTACATTCTTTGAGCTATCCATGGCGACCTTTCCCTTACAATAAATTTGCAGCTCAGCATGTATTGAGAAGTTCAGATTATGAGTACGCATCATCTTGCATGTTTATACAAGTTAAAATCTGACGTCACGCTGCATCATCAACCACTCTAGCTCAGTTTTTTTCTAGATTGAGAAGTTGTGAAACCTACAAATTTCACCTCAGATTACTAGAAAAACCCAGCTGAATAAGAAATTCTCTCACTTTCATGATCCACACCCTGCTCCTTAGAAATTCTTTTGATGTTCTTTTCTGAAGATCTTGTTAAACATTTTAGTAAAACAGTGTTCATGGTCATGATTCTTTTATGCCTGATTTGTATGTTACCTATGTACGATAACCTTGTTGCTTACAGACCTAGAGGCTCAATCTGCTCTGGAAATCCTCCATGACTGGACTTGATCAACTTATAGCCACGTAAACACAAACTACTTCACTACCAGGTAAACACCTTTTCTAGGAGGGAGCCATAAACCTGTAATTTCTGTAGTCATTTCTAAAGCACAAATGTTGATGGATTCAGGTCTGTCTTTCAGGTTTGAGCTGTAAAACTCCCACTGAGGACTTCTAGTGATTTGCCCGAGGTCATAGAACAGGTACGTAGCATAGACAGCAACAGAAGCAAAATCTCCAGTATTCCCTCTCCGTGTCGTAGGATATCCTGCTTTTCCCAAACAGATGCTCAGAGTGATTTTTTTTATGTAAATAGCGCAGCTGCTCCACACTAAGTAGTTGGGAAAAAAAAAGTTATTTGTCTAAACAAGATATCAGCATTAATAGTATGCAATGTAGCATAAGCAGGGTCAATAGCAAAGCAGGGTCAGTAGCAGGGTCAATAGCAAAGACGCACGACTACCAAAAACGTTACAAATTTGAAGACTACTAAAATTACTGGGGGAGCCAATTTCAAGCAGAAAAAGCAGTACTTCTCAATGTTAAAATGCTGCTTGGGAAGAGGACCAGGTTGCTAGCCCTTTACTTCACAGTATTACAGCCAGCTATATTTCACATTTCTGCACAGTGCCCTGCCAGCGTGCCTAGCAGCCGGCCCCGGCTGCAAGGCTCCAAGACATTCATGCCCATGCAGCCTAGTGTTCACTTGTTCTTTGGGGTCTTCCAGATCACTTTAAGCCAAAGAAATGTAGTCTGTCTGTTTACACAGGGATGCTTCAAGAAAGTCTTAAACACAATTAGTTACACTACATTAAAGCCCTGTGTCATAACTTTTTCAGAACTGAAGTGACCTTAAGTCAGTTCAACTCACTCATTGTGAAAAAATTACTTCAATTTCATGTCTTTAGTTAAATGAATTTATCTCAGGGTCCTGTAAACCAACTGCAATTCATTGAACGCGTAGCAGGCTTATGAGAGAACAAATCTCCAGAATTCACTCAGATGAGTGCACTAGCACATCCAAACATGACAGTGTTCAGCATGAGATGGTATCACTCGAAGGCTCTGTTATCGCCTACCGCACATGGGAAACTCGCTCCAATTGAAAGGAGGGCCAGAGGACTCCTGATGTAGTCATCTGTCCCTAATGAGCTGGACTGAGATCACTGAACTGATTCTCCAGGCAGCAACTGCTGACAGCTCCCAGTTACAACCGAGAACTGGCAATTTCCATGTGAATGCTCTGTCTCATTATGAATTTCTGAAGATGTCCAACCTCACCCCTTCTGAGCTGAGAAACGTGCATTACTATTTGCTCAAGTGACTTTGGAGAAGTAGCTTGTGTGGAATGATGACACTGTAATTTTAACGTGCAAACCACTGAGGGCTCTGTCTTCTCTGATCACTACTTTTGCTATTTGTACAGCACTTTTTGTAGAGAAGGACTGCAAAGCAAACTTACTAACCTTCTGAGGTATCTCTCAAAAAAATGAAGGGTCTCAAAGGACAGGGAACGCTATAAAGGATTTTTGTCTCTCCAGCCCTCATGCAGTGTTTTCATTAGTACCTCAGAGGCCCATGAATTCTTCAGCACGCAGGACTGAAGGTTTTGAAAGCAGAGTTGCAGTAGTTTAAGAAGTTGCAACTTCTACCTGTCTGCTCTGTCCCTCCAAGCAGATGTTACTATGCTTGTAACAGACATAACCTCATGTTACACAACTAAGCCCTGTACTTCAGTCTAGTAAGGTAATGGTTGAAGAAGGTGGTTTGTCTCAATCATCTGAACTACAAACTGGTACAGGAGAGAATAGGCATGGATTCACTTCTGCTGACTCTGCTGCAGTGTCAGAGGCCAACAAGCAGCTAAAAGCACAGCAACAGAGTAAGTTGCAGCAGGTATTTGTTTCAGTGTGGGTGAGTCGGTTACAGGCTCCACATCATTTACAAACTGCCATCTCACCAGTTTGGACCAAACACAAGGACATGAGTTGCCATGAGATTTTTCAGAAGTGTGTAAGCTTCTGAGACACTGGCGCATGCCACAAGACATCTAATTCATTTTTAAAATCTGAGCCAGATTACTTTCTGTACCAGTAATTTAGGAGCTTAAGTCAACTCTGCAACTGTACCTAGCTCCTTGCAGTAGATGTGGAGATAATGCAGAGCAGTTAGAGTGATGCTGCTGCAAAGTCTTTATTATATAAAGGCTTCATGGTTCTTCAAAGATTTTTGTTCCAGTATGAGCTCCAATTTCCATCAGGAAATTGCACTGATGGTAGACAACTTCGTCCCCCTACACTGAGGCAAAGGGCAATCCATTACCTGCCTCCCACTCAAAGTACTTCACTCCCATTGCTAAAAAACATGCCTTGTGATCATGTTTATACACGGTTATTGAAGCTCAAATATCATTTTGTTATGCATGGAAGTCAAGGTTGGCAGTGAATGAAAGAAGTGGCTTTTGAAATGGTCCACCGTCTCATATGAG